TCGAGTGCTTCAAAGCCCACTTCGCCCGTTTCATCACCATCGACTGCCTGCACAGTTGTTATCTTAATTATGCGCTCTTCCAGCGGTGACAGTACTTTGGCCCGGCTCAAACCGTTTATACCACTTCTCTGCGCTGCCTGCCTTATCGCACTATATTTTGTGCGAGTATGAAGTCTGTTTGTAGGTATTAAAACAAAACATTAAAAAAATAACTTACCGTTTCACAGAACGAGAACTGACCCCCAGGTCTGGATTAATTAACCTTTCATAGATTTCTTTGTGGTCCTGTGTAATTGATTAAAATTTGAAAACGTTCGCCTTGATAACTAGGTTAAACTTTGTTTATCCACTTACCGATTTGTCAACGCATTATACGAGTGTGGACCAATCCGTTTTTAGCACCATCCACCTATCGATAAATAAGTGTGCCAGCTGAAAAATTTATTTTTTTCTCTTGAGTTTCCATTCAGATACTAAATTTCGAATACTTATAACCAGGGACGTGAACCGGATGAAAAATTTGTTTGGTTCGGTTCAGCGGGTCGAACCATTTTTTGCACTTTTGGATTGGTTCGCCAAAGCGGTTTTTTTGGTCTTTGAACCGGGGTTTCGGTTCGGTTCAACGGTTCGAAAAACAAAAAAATTACGCGCAAGTTTAAGTGTCAAGTGTCAAGTGCAACAACGCGCAAGGTTAAGGGTATGAGATGGGTTGCCTTTACATTTGATATTGTCACATGGTAAACCAACATGATGGGTATTACCATGTTTACCAAAAAGAAAAAAAAGTGAGTACATTTATCTATTGAAAATTGGTTGAGACGAACCTTTCAATATTTATAGAAAGTGGTTCGGTTTTCGGTTCGGATCAAACATTTGTGAAACATTTCGGTTTCGTAATGGTTCAGTTAATTAATAGAAAAGAGCGGTTTTCCGGTTCAAAACCGGTTCGGTTCAAAACCGGTTCACGTCCGTGCTTATAACTCTGGCCCCTATTATGAGTTGCATTCGATCTTCGACTGTGGTCGAAAGTGCTGTTTAAACGAATTTTCATTTGGTATTATGGCGCTCATTCGATGAAGAATAGCGCTATTGTGAATTTCGCTCGTTTAGGTTGTTCACAATAGTATATTTTTCACCGCGGAGAAGCTTTGTTTACAAATCGAGCAAACTAAATAATGTGGTTATACATATGGACATATGTAAATTTGTGCAAATTAAAATGAAATAAAAAAGAAAGCGAGTTTATAAAAACTTGGTAAAAAAAATTTTAATTAGTACAACGGAGTTCTGGTTGAACGATTCGTCAGAGGATGAGAGCTTAGAAAACTAAGTGCAGTCTTTCGAATATGTTTTGACATACAATATATATAAGAAATTTTGTGATCCAAATCTATTTAAAATATATTAAAACTAAACAACTCTATGATTTTGTTCTCAGAGATCGTGCCAACAGCGTATTGGCGATTTTATTTCTTAAGTAAAACTAGACTTTCGAGCTTATGTTTAGTATTCATTACGTTAAAACTGCATGAAATTAACAAAAAAATTTTAAAACTAGTTTCTAGCCGCCAAAAAGTGGAAAACAAATGCAAAATCATACATTTTTCACAATGTTCTAACACTTCGCTACACCAACGAAAGCAAAGTTCTGTTCAACAGAAAATTCGAAACTCTACGAAAATTTGGACACGCTTGCATAGCTCATATACGAATTTCACTTTCGATCTTCGATCTTCTGGAATTATTTTCAAGAGTATGTTATGTAGAATATATTACTTTAACGCCATTTTTAAAAAATCAAACTGTAAAACAGGAAATCTTAGTAAAATTTAATAATCCAGAATAACTACTTTATTAACATTTTTTAATATAATCTATGAATGGCACACCTTCCTATACTACATTTTATAATATTAGAGATTTAAAATTATTAGAAAAAATATCATTGCCCTAAGATATGCGGTAAAGCAAATACATCGTGCAAAAGAAAAAAAACCATGCTCAATCATCAGTTTGACTCATTGGTGTTTTAGCTAGTTTTGGGATTACAGCGAGTGTGTATTTTTTCAGATCTGATAAAACACTACAGCAGCTCTTATTATAATATATTTTCTTTTGAAAAATACCCAACAGATATAGCAATTTTGACCATATACCTACGAAACTATGCATAATCACCAAAATCAGAAGTTCCTGAGACATGCCCATATGTGCTTTTATATACATATTTCCATAACAACTTCAAGATATCAAAATGCGTAGAACTCAATGTTAAAGCTAATCAAGTAGATAATGAGAAGGCATTTTTCATCATATATGCAATCTACAAGCAAATTGATAAGAAATGTATAATCCCTGCTGTAAGCCCGGGCCAGCCAACGCTAAATCACCATGTACGTCTACAGCGACAATTGCACTAGTGCAAATGTCGACAAAGGTTTCTTTTTTGCAGGAGTACGAACTCGCCATAGGCAATGACTGTAGCGTTTTTGTGTGTAAATTGTCTACAACAGCAGTGCTTCTTGTGAAGGTGAACGTAAATAATTAATAAGTCACATACACATATACGTAAGTATGAGTAAACGAAAATATAATAGACAAATTAGAAAACAATCCGTATTATATAAAAACAGAGGCCGAATGCCCAAAAGTGATAATGAAAAGGACGCTAATATTTCTGAAATTGCAAATGAAATTTTTGAAAATGAAGGAGATTTATCTGAGTGTGGAAATAATTTTGGGACTCCAAAGTTAGCATTAGTGGACAAATTAAAAAAGTGGTACACAGGAACAGCTCCTTCTAGAGAATGTTTGTAAAAACTGCTTAAAATTTTGCATGACGAAGGCCTGGATGTTCCACTTTCAGCAGAAACTTTGTTGGGAAAAAGGGAGCAGATTATTCAGCCCTATTCTGAATAGAAACTTCCTAGGAATTTTTCCTCATTTTTCTTTCCTGCTATCATGCCCTATTCTCCTATTCTAAACGATCTTCGAAAAAGGGAAAATGTATTTCGCGAAAAAAGTAGGTATTGTAGGTATGTCAAAAAGTAGGAGAATTGATTTCGTTATTCTGGGACATGATTCAATAATACAAGGTTAGATAATTATTGACAGCCGCGGTTTGACGCTCCCTTACAAAAGTTTGCATTTACCAGAGCTGTAAAATGATTGAATCAATAGGATCTGCATTCACTCGACATTCTTTTCAAAATTTTGATTGTTTGTTTGTATAAAAAAAGCCTCATTCCTGAGTGGCTTAAAATGCTTGAAAACAAATAAACTGTGTTGTGTTTTTGAATGGTAGATTGACATTCAGTATGGATTGTGAATGTAACAGAAGCATTCGCACACACACATGATTGTATATTTAAAATGAATGCACACGTTTTTACCATTCAGTACTAATACTTTTTTCCCAGGGTTGAAATATTTTATACTTTAAAGTTTAAACATATCTGGAATTGAAAAAAAACATATATGTATACGTATGTATGTATTTCAACACGTATGTATAGACGTTTTCTGACATTAACCCATGGCTAATGACTGGTGCGAAATCAGTCCAAACAAACATCGCAACCCTCGAGCACAAAGGACACATCTTGATACATACATTTACATATATTACATTCGAAACTAGTGAACTGTATATAGAAATATAAAACAGTGTCAATAGAATTGAGTTTTTAAAACTCTTGCTTGAAAAAACTTAAGAATTTCATTACCGGCATCTGTCCCTTCGTATTATAGACTTTTAGAACTATAAAAGGTCTATTCTGCACGTAACCGAAGATTTTTTAACCGGAAAATTTTATTACCAAAAAATGTTACCTGTTCATGTCACCGCGATTCTAGGAACGTTGGTAATGCTATATATTCAGCAATTCAGCCATGAAGAATTGTGGAAATTCTGGCATTGCATATTTCACGGGGCGGGGCAATATTTTGTTACCAGCTTATGAGATGGTAACAAAATTTACCGGTTACATGAGTACACCAATTGCGAAAAGGGTTTAAAAATTGATTGTAGACATTTTTTCGCAGAATATATGTATATATAAATTTAATTTGTATGATTTTTTTTCTATTAATTTTTTTCTTCAGTTATCAAATTTGAAAACTTTCAAAACGAAATTTTATAGGATTCTTGTTTTCTTTAAAGAGGGGTTGAGGAGTTACATTGTAAAATTTTTTTTTATTAATTATTAATTAAAAGGTGTACTATTTAAACATATTTACTACGCACTTCTGCAGTAGGGTACTATAACTTTTCTCACGTAACGGATATTTGGAACAACCAAAATCGAGATAGATATATACTACATTTATGTACATACGTATGTATATACCGTAAATGCCCAGAATAAAAAGAGAAGTTGATTAGTCCATCTCCGTCTGTCTGTCTGTCCGTTTGTTTGTGTACACGATAACTCTAGGAAAAGTTGAGATATCGGAAGAAAATTCGGCACGCGGGTTTCCCTTTATGCAGGGCAGAAGCGTATTGAAAATACAAAAATTAAACCATAACCTGGTCCCTCCCATAAAACGGTAATTTCGAAAAATTCAAAAAATTCAATATTTCCTTAATTACAGAAAACAAATTGCTAAAAAAGTCACATGTTTATTATTATACATTTTTGAAAAATGGGACATATTTCTAACTTTTGAAATCAATTTGCTCAAAACATACATTTAGAATAATGTTTAAAGAAATAATTACACCCGAGCGCATTTGTGCACATGGGTATTATAACTTTGTTCGCATAGCGGTTGTTTGTTGTCTAGCCCTTCAGGTTAATAAAGATTGTAGAAAACGATTTTTGCTTGTGTGGGGTCCCGTTTGATTCCCAAAATTGGAAGGAACTGATTTTTTCAAATTGCAACACCTAATAAATAAATTATTTCTAAAATAGGTTACAGCAGACAATGTTTAATCATTTTTTATTAATATACCGACACCTGATTGGAAGATCAACCTATCTCGGCAGCCAATTCAAAAACGCCCTAACTCAGAAAACTTTTTATGAAAGTCCTACTTCAGAATTTGGTTGAAGAACGCCCTATCTCAAATGAAAATATATTGAAAATTTGCCGAGGTAGGGCGTTTTTTGAACCGCATTCTGAGATAGGGCGTTCTTCAACAAAATTCTGAAATAGGGTGTTCTAGAACAGTTTTTTGAGATAGGGAGTTTTCGAACTGGCTGCCGAGATAGGTCGATCTTCCACTTAGGTGTCGATATGTAGTTTTGATGTTAACAAACAAACCAAAACTTGGGTTAAAAAGCGTGCTCAATGAAATGGGTATAAATTATTAAATATTGCACTTTCGGAAAAGGATGTTAATGAAAATAGGGACCAACGAATTTTGTTAAATATTTTTTTTGTTGGAAATGTTGATAATTTGTGGCTTATTGTAAATGAAAAAACCTCCACAAACCAACGAATTCGATTTTCGAATCTTTATTAAATGCTTGACCCAATAGCGACGAAAAAAAGTACGAAGAAATTTGTATCAAAAATTTTTATAATTAAATAATGAAATGTATA